CGAGGGGGAGCCGGTATCGGCGGCTTTCGTGTTTGACAAGGAACCAATGGAGAAGGAGATCAAAGGGGTCTTGAAAACGTCGGGTTCGAAATCCAGGAGGTCGACCGAGTCATCGCCACGTCACGTGAGATTCTCGACGTCATCACCGGTGTCGTATCCGGCGTCTCCGACGTCGTCCGTCACGCCTCGGTTGCTACAGGCTACGGAGGATTTCAACGCTTTCTTGGAAGCTCAAACCGTGTGAAAAGTGAAAGACAAAAAAGTCGTGACTAACTTGTATATATAATCGTTTTAATTCGTCATTTATTTTTTATTACAACATTTTTTTCATTCAAGAGATATGTTTATAAATTTTATTCAATGTAAGTGGTGATGTTTAGATACTGTGTTATATTATTTGACTTTAATAGTTTTAAGGGTAGTTGTTGGATAAATTTTAGATTTCTAATATAATATGTTTCTTGATTTTGAGTGAATTTGTGTGTGTATATATATATATATATGCTTATGAAAAATTAATCATTAAACGGTTGACAATATTAGAATTTAGATATACGAATATTATCTCATGAGTATTGGACTCTGAGATCTGGTGTAATGAACACAACCCATAGGTATTTTCCATCAGAACATGAGCACGTTTTCCGACATGTATACGCACGGCATTATTTATTTCCTGTTTAATTTACTAATGGAAACTAACTGAAAAAAAAAATTCATTCCTCTCTGTTCACATCTAGGTGATTGAATATAATATTTTTTTTATTGATACAGAAAAATGTCTTGAAATATAATACGCTTGTTATAATATTTCGGTTTTTATTTACGTTTTGATTCGATTATAAAAGTTGAATTTCTTAATTCATAAAATTTACATGTATTACCTTTTTTTTTTCTCAAAAATTATTTTTGAGAAAATTACATCATTATCAAAAATGAGTTTCATCAAAGTTTAAAGGTCGCACTTTTTTTTCTTTCTCAGTGTGGATACAGAGCCCAGAGATCGGAAACGCATTAGCCGCAGCGAACCACCCACAAGAAATCGAAGAAGAAAATGCCATTGACGGCGACAGCGGTAGGAGCTCTGCTGGGTCTGGGCACCCAGATGTACTCCAACGCCCTCCGCAAGCTCCCTTACATGCGCCGTGAGTCCGTCAATAGATGAAACCCTAAAACGATCCCATTTCGGGGATGATCGGATTCGAATTTAACGATTCTCGGAAACAATGTTTTCGTAAGATTTTATTGAATTGTGGGTTTCGATGTTGAATCTGCTTGCAGATCCGTGGGAGCATGTGTTGGGGATGGGACTTGGTGCTGTGTTCGCGAACCAGCTCGTGAAATGGGACGCGAAGCTCAAGGAGGATCTGGAAGTGATGCTTGAGAAGGCCAAGGCTGCGAATGAGCGCCGTTACTTTGGTATCTCTCTCCTCTTCCCTCTGTTTGGTTGTCGAATTTTGCTGTTTGCCCTGATTCGTTCCCCGTGGCTGCGGAATTCGTGGTCAATTGGGAAAAACAAGATGAGGAATATGAATTGGGAAGAAGGGAAATTCTATATATATATATATGTATATAGTTCATTGCCCCTTGAAATGGGCTGTTGATCAGAAACACAGAGTGAGTCCTCTGGTAACTTGAATTTTAAGAGTACAGAGCATTTGGTTTTGTCCTTCAGTTCTGTATTTCGGGAGTGTTATTGCTTTGTTCATCAGTTCATTTCTCTTCACGAGGGAAACCTCCCTTCTGAAATCATCTTTCAGAACATTTCTTGCTTATTCATCAAATGATACAGTTTCCTTGTGGCTAGCTAGCAGTTAGCAACTAGTGTAAGAGTCAAGACTGCTTTTTGACCAAGACATGGGATGGGATGACATTTCCGTATTTTGAGTTTCACAGAACAATTTGAGGGATGATGTTTCATCGTCTACTTGAATTTGATTGTAACAACGTGAAAAGAAAAGAACTTTTGGGCACATCGTGGGAAGTTTTTGGAATATAATCGTGTGAGGTGAGATGGGTTTGTGCTATTTTAGTTGTATGCATATGAGAATTCAACACTGACTGCATAGCTTTTTTCCTCTGTACCGTTGTGAAAGCTGGAAGATGCTTCTCATTGATGCATTTCCACAGTTTGTTGTATGGTCATGTTTGACCGTACCATGAGGGTATGTTACATGGGACAGCTGGGAAAAGAATATGGCATTTACATGTACGATGAGGGAACTTGTATTGAAATGACAAAATGATGAGTTTACACTTTTCTTCACGAAGCAATAGATTGTATAGGTTTTTGGGTTTCCGAGGCTTGGCCGTTGTAAGTTGTAAACCTTGGTCTGTGGGAGCTGTAGGTAAAATTTAGGAGTCCGAAACTTTCATGGAATGTTCTTCCTACATAATTCCTTATTGTCTTTCCTACTTCTTGATCAACAATGGTAAAAGCCTAATCTTTTTCGCCTTATTGGCATGTTCACCGTTTATTTATTTATCGAGCGTGGAATAACCCAACTTTGCTGTTTATGTTCTTTATGCAGATGAAGACCGGGATTGATTGATTAAGGACCATTTGGATCCTAAGGACAAGATCTACGGCCCTCGGGAGTCATCTGTTTCTGTTTTATTGATACTCTTTGTTTAGAACCTGTTCCTCTCTTCGGCCCCACCCATTGGGCTAATAATCGGAAAATGAGAGAAACTCGCTTGATTTTCCTGTTCATTGGTACATCTTTGGTTGAGAATACAAAAAAAAATGTAGTTAGCGAAGTCTGAAGTTGCATGGGAAAGCGACCTCACGCTTGAATCCTATTTTCTGATGCATTTTGTCAGAAAAACGAATAGAGGGCACTCCGGTCATACGACTTCTACAGGGTGGGGGCATCGCGACCTCAGCTGCGCCCTGGTCAGTCCCCAGCCGGGAAAATCGAGATTTGTGAAACATCTCTTATGTGCATCCAAGCTTTCGTAGCTCAGTTGGTTAGAGCACCCGTTTAGTAAGCGGGAGGTCTTGAGTTCAACTCTCAACGAAAGCATTTCTTTTCATATTTTGCACATTGAACCCTCCTTTTTTCCGCCTCTTCAAGAAAAAGCCACCGCTTTTTACAAAGTTGCGAGCAAATCCTCACTGATTCCCCAAGTGATAATTCTATGCGATTGGATTTTTTATATCTATATATATATATATATATCCTATTGATCTTACAGAAGCAAATGTACAAATAACGTATCGTAGGAAATGTACAGACATGATTTGAATGAACTAAACTACCTGTCCCTCAAAGGCGAAAAATAACTAGCAATGCTTGAAGTCGAACCCACGTTGGATTTATTACCTGTGACAGTCACGGCACGTTTGCTCGGACGTAACCAAGTCCTGATCTCACGTTGAATCTCAGGTGGCAATTCATCGATCACCGACTCATCAATCTCATCCATCTTGTAGCTCCATGTTGTTTCTGTTCTTTCTTCATCTCGATACCTTTGACTAGCAGTAGGTCCACTAGAGTTTGCTCTTGTAGAATCCTCTTGAATCTCTTGCATCGATGGAGGAGTTGTTGTGTAATAATTCTTAAAGATGTCGGCAATTGAAGGCGTTCCCTAAAACAAGCGTCGTTCAAGAGAATCCCACTTCAATCTACATGTCGTTTAAGGCGGGGAAGATTGTCTAAGAGAGAAGCAACGAAACATACCCAAGTCATTTCCTTGGAGTTGTTTCTCTTCCTCTCCATTCTTCCCATTTGCGTGCCTTGATTTGATCGTGGAAATCAGGACTTGAACTGATGTATTCACTTAATGACCAAGAGGACAAAGAAAAGACGAGATCCTGGATGCATTACCTGATGTAGACAACTTATTCCTTGATTGTGGCAGAACATCGATTGCCTTGTTTGATGGACATGACACATCCTGAGAAGGGAGATTCAGATTGTGAGCCATGATTGCATGGTTCATTTTTTTGTGTAAAAAAATGAACTCGAAAGAACTGACTCAAGACCATGAATCCGTGAAACTTTTTAAATCTTAAAGAACCTAACTTATCCTATCCATTTACACTGAACCTTCATGAAATGTCTTTAGCTTAGGAGAGGACTAGTTATTTCAAAGGTTATGCCTCAAACATGGAATAAAAAAGAAGCATAGATTTGCTGATATAAACACCTCTTTGGTCAACGTGTCAGCTTGTTCTTCCAATTCACCTACATCAGACCCTTTACATCTTACACCGATGTTTTTTGCAGAAACTGCTGTTTCGGATTCTATTGATCTCTGCTCTGAACAGCTTTCACTAGCTGAATTAACAGCGCAAGTAAAAGGTCATAAAGTTAAATCAATGACCAGAATCAAGAGCAGCAGAAAGACAAGAACATATACAGGAAACGATGGAAGTACCTGAGAAAGAACTTGCAGGGCATTCTTGGATGCAGCTATCTGTTGAAAGCTTTGAGCAAGAGGATGCAGATTGGTTGTGAAAATATTTCATTATTGAACTTACTCCCTACAAGTTAAATAAAAATGTCACATATGACAGACCAGTGAAGAAACCAACTATTGCTTAATATGCACAGTTGATTAAAGGGATCTCTACTTGGTCCGAGATCTTAACATGATTTTCCCAAGAAATGTATGGCTTGACCCTCGAACACATTGTGTCTTGGTTGATTGAGCATAATCACTTGATAATTCATACGCATCATTCAATCCAAAGTATTACGATGGAGACTGTAAAGCATAATACTTACAGTTGGTATATCTGTGATTTTACTAGCTGAAACGGAAAGACCTGTAATTCTCCATGAACCTTGATTTTTTCCTTGTGTTTTGGTCCCGTAAGGACCCATGAATTCGCGTAAGGCAGCTTGAAATAAGTTGAAAGCATCTTCTTGGATCTTGGCCGTCCCATATCTCAGAGGACAAGATTTTGAAGGGAATTTCTTATGTGAATCTGAATCACTTAACTGCAGCATATTTTTGGGGTCCGCATAAGTTAAGTTTTGCACAGTAAATTGGTAAAATAACAATGTACAAAAGTTTCTTCAAACTAACTTACAGGAAAAAACTTACTCTGTAAGCAGAAGCGTGAAGAGTAAGGGTGCTTGCAAGCCGTTTGTTCTGCTCTAAGTCAGAACTAAGGCGCTCGCTAAGTTCTTCACAAAGTCGGTTCAGCCACTGTTGAACCTATAGAAAACAGAAAACAAACCCATATATCTAACAGCCTTTATATGATACACAACGAAAAGAGAACTTGTGTCGGTGGTAAAAGATAGTTTGACCAGCAATTTACTATCTCTTCATCACACATAGGTGGATGCCAAGCGGATTGGTTCTATTTAACTACACTGACATAGGTTTTCTAATAATATACGTTGATTCATATTTTCATGTTTCTCTTTCCATAGAAGCTTTCTAGTCTATCTTCATGAATTCTATATTTTGGATATTTTTTAAATGCATTCGGTCTCGTCCCATGTAAAAACCTTAATGTTTAAATATAATTTACATTTCATAAAAAAAACTTATGCAGTTCAGATATATTTCTTTTCCCCCTTATTGTGCAACAACTTCAGACGATGAAGTTAAAAGAGAGAAAATCTCTGGGGCTGGGGATGAAGTCAAAGAAGATGCTAGAGAATTAGAAAGAATGCAACAGTGAGAATACACTACAGAAACTAAAATGTTTAGTCATATGGCAGATGCTCTTCCCAAGTCTTTTGCCCAAACTCTTAAGATTTATATACGAGTTTTCCCTAATGTGCTATTAAAATGAAAAGTACTTGAGCCAAGGGATAAAAGAGGTAAAAAATAATTAATCTGGTTGAGATAAAATCCTTACAGATGAAAGTGTCTTGAGAGCTCGGGGACCAGGAAATGTCTTCCCAGAACCATGGCTTTTGGGGAGAAGCCGACCTTGCACTTCTTCTCCACTAATCCCTCTCGCAATATTCCATAACCAAGTACTGAAAGTCAAATGATAAAGCGTTAAAAACCGACATCTAGTTAATTTCAAACACTTTGGTTACTTAAAAGAGAAACTGATGAACATGCACTAGGCATCATGCATCCTTGAGTTAGAATTAGAAAGAAAACATTTGATCATTGTCGGTCAGATAACCAAAAGACACAATCACAATGGCAAAACCATCAAAACTTTTACAGGTTGGAGGTACTGTGGTTCATAAAAGAGGATTGCCGGTAAAACCAACGACCTCACAATTCTGTTGGTCATTACATATTACCCAGTATTCATTCCGTAAAGTTCCTGCAGCTTCCCTTCAGAAAATTGCAAGAGGTCCCCCACGGTATTAACACCCAAATCAATTTGCAAGGAAGTACCTAACTTTCCTCCAAGCTGTTTCCTGCAAGACTTAAAAAAGATAAACCAAGTCCGCGATATCGCATCTGTATTCGACAGATGCATGATACTGAGACAGACGTAGAAGGTGTAATCCACAATTTTTTGGACATTCTAAAATGTAATTCTCCTTTTTTGGACATTCTTAGGACTTTTTGATCACAGCCTTCTTTACATTGAAACAATATCAAGTGTACTTCAGATTTCTGAGGTTTTTGAATGCATATATTAGATACAAAAAATGAAAAACAGAAAGCAGAACATTCAGGAGTGTGTCCAAAATAAATGTTGTCACCTATTTTTAAGCATGTGAACATTTTGATCCGTTTAACTGTCAAGAGACTTACATTTTTTTTATTGGCAATGAATGGAGTAATTCTTGTACAGACGAATAGGGTACAACAGTCTGCTGAGCAGGTTTGTTCATTCCACTTGCAAGTTTCGCTAGCATCTGCTAAGTCAAGTGTTACTTACCATTTAAGCAAAAAAAAAGTACCTAAGAAAACAAAAAAGCTTCTTGCCTTATTATGAGCGATGCCGGCAGAACAAGTAAACTCAGTGTCCTTCAACACCTGCTTCCGAAGATCAGCAACAATGAGTATTCCACAAGCTAATAACTTATCTCGACGATCAGCATTTCTCCGACATATCCAATCCCTTACACACTCTGTGGCATCATCTCCATCCTGAATCGGTAAGAAATGTAGTATCAAAGTTTAATGATATGCAGAAGATATTAGATAAAAAACTTAGTGTACTGAGTTTACATCAAAGGATGAGTATCTTCAAGGAAATGGGTCATTGTTTCTTACATCTGACATCTTCATGAAGCATAGTAGTCATTTCAACAACAATGAATCATAATGAATATGAAAGATGGAACTATAACAAATATGGATCCTGCATACTACGTTTCTTTTGCTCTGATGAGCATGTTCCTTAACACCTACAGACAGAGCATCTGCTAAATCTGGGAGCTTTCTGTAGATTTTATAGATCAGGAATAAATTCTAGGATATGTATCAAGTAAAATTTCAATAAATTTAATGACTGGGTGCCCAACTCTGTACTCCGGAATCTGGCATAGATGCCCGATCACTATATTAGTGCTGCAACAAAAACATATAGAGAGTAACTTAAAACATTAAGAAAATTCAAGAAACCTTGATGCTCATTCCCAGAACGTGTGATCTCAGAGCTTCGTCCTCTATCACTTCCAAGGTCTCAGGAGGTTTATCAGCAAGCATGCTTTCTGCTGCTTCAGTGAGATCAAGGTAGACTTCATCAATCGATGCCCTCTCACACTTACCCTTTTGTGATAGAATGGAGACCACCTGCCAATGAAATTATTTCAACAAATATTATAAAAAGACAGACATCAAATCTCACCAGACAACATGTTTCTAAATTCCACCAACCTCTGAACCAGCATTACGGTATGAATTCAGGTCAGCTTTACCACGAGCCACAGGCACTTGAACCAAATGAATTTCTGGGCAAGCAGCTCTAGCTTCATCACCTCTCATTGATCTGAAAAAACATCCAATTACATATTTTCGGGCATCCAAATACAAGTTTGGCTTTGGAGAAAGCTCGATACAGTTCAAACTAAGGCAGCCTTAATCTTGGACTCACCGCTTAACGCCACACCTACGAGCTTCATAGCTAACAGCAATCAAGGCACCACCTTTCCACTCGTTATACTGTACAACAGCAGTAGGAAGTCCCCTTAATTCCGGTTGCTTCCTCTGCTCCACTATTATATACGCCGGAGAAATCACATAATCAGATCAAGAAAACAAACACACAAATCAACAAAATCAAACACCAATTTTTCGTTAAGGAACGTTTCACGATCCCCGGAATTAAAAAAAGCAAACATGCGAAGTTCAAATCACTGAACCCGTCAAGAAACACCGCGAGAGAACCACTTCCGCAGAGAATTAACGACCCAAAATCTCAATAGCTCAAGTCGAATCAGGAGAGCGATGCGACCCGCAAGAGCCTACCAATAGATGTCATTCTCTCAATTAAATGCGTGTAGCTACTGAGTGTGTGTGTGTGTGTGAGCGAGAGAGAGAGAGAGAGAGACCTTGAACGTAGAAGCAGTCCATGTCGACGTGGGCGATGACCCTCGCATCCGATGATTCGGGTCTCGCTACTGGCATTTTCTCCCAAACCAAACCTAGCAGTTCCAAAATTTCCACAAAATTGGAGCGAGCGAGAGAGAGAGAGATTCTGGGTATGGCGCGCTAAAATTCAGGCGAAAAGGCTTGTTGAGAAGAAGGAAAGTGGTAAACGGGGAAGCAAAGCGGTAAAAAGAAAAGAACCCGGAGAGGCCAAACCAAACCGGGAAATCGAAATCTTGGTTGTGAACCGGCAACCCCTAATCCAAAACCAAACCGGTCCAATTTTATGCATCTAATCTGCCCTCCATACCGCATCGCATACAAAAATAATTATACAGATACATATATACTGTTGTAACATTTTTTTACATAGTTGTTTAAGCTAGCAATGGTATTTCCTATGTTTGTTACAATAATATAACAATAATAGATTCATACTACGGTTAAAACGAACGAGCTCTTATATTTTGGCTCTTTTATATAATATTTTTTTTTCTATAAGAATCTAAACTAATTTTAATTTAATTGTATCCAAAGATTCTAAACTGATTGGATATTTTTTTTAAATAAAATTTTTCATACTTTTTAAAAAATATAAAATAAATCTTATATACTCTTATTTTTTTGTATTTATTATATACTCTTATTTAATATAGTTTTTTTTATATCATTAAACCTATATTATATACTCTTATTTAATATAGGTTTAATGATAAAAAACTATATTGTTATTAAAATTTTATTGGAATTGTGATAGTTTTAATTTAGGATAAAATTAGAAATTATTTAGAAAAAATAGAATGACATCAATTTAAAAACAAAAAATAATTGTTTAAAACGTCTATTATGAAATGTAGGGAGTACAATTTTAAAAATATTTTTATTAAAACTGTTATTCCAATGAATATAAATTTTAAACAAAAAAGATATACCGAAATATTTGACTAATCAGTTGCAGTTTTGGTTGCAAGCTGCATTGACTAAAATCAAGTCAACAAATAAACCGGTTGCTGGTCGTAAAAGAAAAGAAAATAAATCCAGAAAAGTAAAGATTCAAACCTAAATCAAATTTCTAAAATTGAAATGTACCAAAATTAACTCACGATTTTGTGTCACAATGTCGTCATTCTCTGAATTAAACGCTCTTTTAAACCCCAACGGAATCCCATATTTACTCCTCCATGTCGCCATCTTTCTCAAACACATTTGACATTTTTGAAACATAAAATCTCTTGAGAAATGGCAAAACAAAATTTCCATAACAAAAATCTCTGCAAAACCTCTATATATTAGCTGTGTATGTGTGTATGTACTGTTCAAGAACACTGAGCAGTGCAGAGAGGGAAGAAGGAGCCCTACCTTGTCCCGCAAGCCAAGTATGGGTCAATTCCTCAAAACCCTGTTTTCCTCTCTCCTCCTCTGCCTCGCTCTTCTCCCTCTCCTAGCCTCTGCAGAAGAAGAAGATTGTGATTCCGGCCATGGCGGCGGCGGGAACGGAGCAGACAAGGGCAAGGCCTTGAAGTTCAAGATCGCTGCTATCTTATCGATCTTTATCGGCGGAGTTTTCGGGGTCTGCCTACCGGTTTTGGGCCGGAAATTCTCTTTTCTCCGGCCGGAGAGCAACTTCTTCTTCCTCATCAGAGCCTTCGCCGCCGGAGTGATTCTGGCCACCGGATTCATCCACATCCTTCCAGACGCCGGCGAGAATCTCACGAGCCCATGCCTGGGCGAGGCCCCGTGGGGAGATTTTCCGATGTCTGGACTCATCGCCATGGCTTCTGCGATCGTCACCATGTTGATTGAGTCCTTCGCCGCCGGTTACTTCCAGAGATTGCTCTCCGGCGAAAAAAACTCCTTGCCGGTGGTCGCTGGAGGCGGAAAACAGGTGTTGGGGACTGGCGGCGGACATGAAGGTCATGTTCATGTTCACTTACATGGCTCTACTTTCAATGAATCCGGAGAAATCAAACTGATCAGGCACAAGATCGTCACACAGGTAATCTAGGGTTCTTATTCAAGATTCCACCCAAAACCCACGATTTTTTTTGTAAGAATTCAGGGAGTTTACGTTTGATCTTTATGTTCTTGGTTAGGTACTGGAGTTGGGAATTGTGGTTCACTCAGTAATCATAGGGCTTTCCCTTGGAGCCTCTCAAGATTTGGACACAATCAAGCCTCTTCTCGTTGCACTGACATTCCATCAGCTCTTTGAGGGCCTCGGCCTCGGCGGCTGCATCTCCCAGGTACATACATTCAGACATAACTCGTTGATTCAGACAGATAACTAATCAATGTCTCGATCTCAAACCCTGATCTCATATCACCCCTGAAAACGTTGCAGGCGAAGTTCAAAGTAGGAACTATTGCAACAATGGTGTTGTTCTTCGCGCTTACAACACCCGTTGGGATCGGGATCGGGATAGGAGTTGCGGAAACGTACAACGAGAACAGCCCGACCGCGTTAATGGTATCGGGGATCCTGAACTCTGCAGCAGCTGGGATATTGATTTACATGGCGCTCGTGGACTTGTTAGCAGCTGAATTCAATGATCCCAAAGTTCAAGGCAGTTTCAGGATGCAGATCAGTTGCAGTCTTTCGCTTCTTCTTGGTGCTGCTGCGATGTCCCTTTTGGCTATTTGGGCATAGATTCAATTTTGTCATCAAAAGCAATTTTCTTCTCTTTGTTTTTAGGGCATTTGTTAGGAGCCTGGAGCTTTTTAGTTTCATTCTTACGTTCTGATTATTTTTTCTCCAATTTTCAATCTCATATATATATATATATATATGAAAAGAGTGTTCCTCAATACTGGGAAAGCTTCAATCTTTAGCATTCTATGACATATATGAACAGAATTGGAAATGCATTGCTTACAACGGGCATATATATATATATATGTACATTATAATACACATATACACGACAAGAGCAGATTCTCGATGTACTTACTGAGAAACCCAAACACAGGTTTTTGTCTGGAAGCTCTGTTGTAGAGACAAGACAAGGAGTGGTGGCATCAGCCCCTGGACGAAGTCTTTCTCAAAGGACTTTCGGAAATTCGCTTTTCTGTAAGCTTTCTCGAGAAAGATCCGAATTTTTCTATCAAAGAAATCTCTTTCAGATTTTTTTTTCCTATTTGCAAAAAAAAAATCCTGTTTTTTCCTGAAAGTTATTGAGTTTTTCTTCCCAATCTCATGACAGACGACGACGATAGCCTTTAAATTTTGCTTCCTTTTTTTTAAAAAAAAACTGACGTGGTAATTTATAAGGCGTAGACTCACGGTACATACGCCGGACGGATCCGTGTATATATCTGTAAACATACATACATACATACAGTCATACATACATACATACATACATACATACATACATACATACATACATACATGTAAGCACTGTTTTTTTTTTTGGTAATGCATGTAAGCACTGGTTTCCATCGGCGGAGAAGAAAAATGTCCGTTAATACATGTTATATTGTTGGACACGCTTCTCTGGCTCTGCAGATTCGTGTCTGAAAATGAAGCGTAGCTTGGGTTCCAAATCCTCGAACAACAGCAGCAGCAGCAGTAACACGAAGGCGAAGAAGAAAAAGACGACGAGCAACCAGAAAACTCTAGGCGTCGCATGGGGCGCCGCTTCTCTCTCTTCCTCTCGCTCTTCTTTTCGCTCCTCCCCTTTCTCCGATTTCGGAAGGTCTCTCTCGTTTCCCTAGGTTTTAGGGTTATACTTGAGCTTCTGATGTAGAAAGTTGGGAAATTTCTGTCTGAAAGATTTGGGTAATTTTGACGAACGACTTGTAAGATTGGGGATGCTTTCGATTCTAAAGTCTTGGGGTTTTGGGGTGTTTCTATTTGAGAAACATCAAGAAATTGCGAAATCGAGACTGCCCAAATTCGGAAGTGGTTGAGGCTTGTTCTATGTTTGTGTTATGGATGCTCTTTTTTGTTGATATCTTCTCTATGTTTTTGTTTGTAGTTACATGTCAGAGAAGAACCGGAAACTTCATAATCAATTCGATGCTGAAGCTTCTACTGATTTTTATGGCGTTTCTGGTTCTGAGAATTTAATTTTTCAGGGGGTTTCGATCTTTGTGGATGGTTTCACCGTTCCCTCCAGTCAGGTTCAGTTCCATTACTTTGTTTTATACTGATCTTATTTTGTTCAATGTGTAGTTCTTTTCTCATCTGACATGAATCAATCTGTATCCTTTAGTTTTCTACAATTCTTTATCATTGAATTGTCTTTAAACATTCTGCAATACTACAGCTTGTTGATTGACTTTAACTGTACATCTGACTAGGAATTACGAGGTTACATGTTGAAATATGGGGGAAGATTCGAGAACTACTTTTCTAGACGCTCCGTAACACATATCATCTGTAGCAATCTTCCTGATAGTAAAATCAAGAATCTGAGGTCTGCAATTGTTCTAATTTCTCCGAGAGTTTTGGTTGACTTCGTGCAAGTTCATTTGTTTGATGTGTTTCTTAGTTTGAATCAGGTCATTCAGCAGAGGCCTACCTGTGGTGAAACCCACATGGATATTGGACTCCATATCTGCCAAAAGACTTCTGAGCTGTAAGTCAAATCAAGATGATTAAGTCTCACTTAAAATCACTCATTCATAAGCAGTGAAATATGGATCTGATATTTTTCAGTTGTCATCATGGTATACAAGCTTGCATTGGTCATTGTACACAACCTGTTTTCAATTGGTTGTAACTGTAATGAGTTGTGATTATTACATCTCAGGGGTTCCTTACCAGCTAGATCAACTGACTGATGCCCAACCAAAGTTGTCTGCATTTTTTGCTCCAAAAAGCCATTCGGTTCCTGAGGTGGTTTCGACGGATATGACTTGTCAGCCAACAAGTAGATTTTGTGATATACGCATGAATGAGGCTGAAGTTGCCAATTTATTCAGAGCAGCAAAGTTCGGAGAAGGAAGAGAACATGAAAATGATGAAACTGATGGTGTGTACCTTGAGATCACTACTCGAGAAAGGATGGACCCTGCAATATCTGGTGATAGGAAATCTTCTGAATTAAATTCAGAAGAGCTAGATTATTGTGGCATAGAAGAAAAAGAGGTTAATAGTGATTTCCCATCATGCAGTGAGCACCCTCCTGCTTCCACCAACATATCTTTCTGTGAGAACGATACTAATGATGACATATCTACTGCAACTACTGCTGTTTGCTCTAAAAGGCGCCACTCAACTCTTGAGGATCCCAATTTTGTGGAGAACTACTTTAAGGTAAATCTCTAAGTAATTCTTTTTTATAATCTTAAATTGTAAATCCTGTTCATATGGCTCTCTTCACACAGTTTTGTGTTAATTCTTACAAGCGAACCTCCTTCTGCTAATGTGTTTAGAAAATATGTAATGCATTCTTTGGTTGAGATGTTAAACACATGCTGGAAGTTCTTTTATCTGGACGTGAGGGGGCCATAACGTTGATTTCTAATATTTAAGTAACACATTGGTTAAACTGAAGCAGAGAATGTAAGGATTTTTACATGATTCTGTTTCATTTGTTCAGAGTTCGAGACTGCATTTTATTGGTACCTGGAGAAAAAGATACCGTAAACGATTCCACGGCTCTTCTGATGGGCTCAAAAGCACAGATTCTGGACATAACGCAGTTGGAAGCCCCAAAAAGACAGCTTTTATCCACATTGACTTAGTAATTTCCCTGCTCTAGGCTTTTGTTTTATTTCAGTATTTACTTGTTTAATAAGATGGAAGGAAGAGAAAACGAATCTCTGGTCCGTCATATCATTATTTGTCAATAATACAAAGACCAGACTACTAAGCTGAAGTCGGTCACAAAGTACATGTGAAAACTAACCTTACAGTTATATGGGTTTTACAATATTTTGTGTTTTTGTTTTGGTTTCCATTTGCATCTAAATTGTTCAAATCTGATACGATGTTTTCCAGGATTGCTTCTTTGTGTCAGTTGTAATCAAGAACTGTCCTGAACTACAGGACAAGCCAGTAGCAGTGTGTCATTCAGATAATCCAAAAGGGACTGCTGAAATATCCTCTGCGAATTATCCAGCGCGGGCTTATGGTCTGTCTCATCTCATCCGAAGTAATCTTTCTGCGTTATTGGGTCTGACATATATTCAGTTTTATATCTTTCTTCTATGCCATTTTCCTGCATCTAGGAGTAAAAGCAGGAATTAT